GATTTGAATTTGTCTTAGTAAAAACACTTCGCTCCCGTTGATTTATTTTCAAAGGTTCTCCAACACTGATTGCAGATACAGTTTTCATACGCTAGCTGAATTTGCTTCATTGGTCCCTTCCTTTTGCTGTGGGTTTTAATTCACTTTAATGTGTTTGGTCACTGTGTGACCTTGTTTCCTGAACGTCTGTTGTCTCCACACGAAACCTCTAGGAGACAACACATCAAGGATGTCTAGGTTCATACCTGAGGTTGTATCTTTTATCTTTCTTTTTCCCATTGCTCTACTTTGTGCAGCAATTTCCCAGTATCTTCTGAAGTGCTCTGTTTTGTCAGACACGTCCACTTTGCCAATAGTATACTGATTTTAAGAAGGAGCATGTGTTATTTCTATGACCAACCTTGGCAGGAGAAGGCTAACACTTCTTAATGGCACCCTCTTCACTTCATGGAGGTGAAACTCTCTCAGAGGCACTATTTAGAGTAGTTTTCATTTCTGTTCCCTGAATTCTTCCTATTGTATCTGCTCTTTGGCTTCATTTTGATCCTGTGATGGGGTGCATTTGTTTTTTTTGAATGACTTGGTGATCCTTGTTGTCCGCTGCTCAGCTGATGTCTTCTGAGTGCTGGCTGCTGACTGGCAGCTGCCCCGGTGCACAGGGGCAGGAAAGCAGCAGCACACTGTGCAGAAGCCAAAGCCTGTGTTCTCAGCTGTGGGGCTTAGTGCAAATTTTACTCCTTTGGGGGACGGGGGAGGAAACAGAGTGAAGGTATGCCAGGCCAAGGGTCTTAATAACCTCAATGGATGTGGACACTATGTGCCATCAGCATGAAGTGAGATTGACAGTATCAACAAAGACGAAATGGGAGAAAGGAGAACCAGAGGAGGAGAGAGGGAGGGCGGGAAAGGAAGGGGATCAAAAACTACGCTGCATTACCCATTGTGCCAGCACCCCAAGACGACTGCAAAGTGCATGTGTGGCAGACATGTACTAAACAAATAAAATTTTAATTAATCAATTAATTAATTTAAAATTCAGTCAACCATGTGTTGACACAGACCCTAAAAAAACCAAAAAGCAACAACTATACTCCTTAGTAGAATCAACATCCAGACCCCCCTTTCCATACATGTGGTAAAGGCCTTGAATCAGCTCAGTTCCCGGCCTGCTCCCCTCAGGCTCTTATTCCCAGCACGAAGCCCAGGGTTCCCTGTGGCTGTGGATGTGCTGATCTGGAGGGGATGTGACTGCTGTATTTGTGCGTCTGTGTGCTGCACCTGTGCGTGGGGGGAGGGGATGGCATCGGGCTGCACCGTCTCCAGTTCAGTTATTCAATTTGCTTTCTAAACAATCATCTTGAAGCCCTTTTCCTGGGCTTTTTGTTTTTTTGCTCTCTCATGCTGTATTTCTCTAACTTGCTCCTAGGTTAGTGGAGGTTTTCAGATTGTGTTCTGAGCTGTGGCGTCACTACATGTATCTATCTCATTTGATCTGTTTTCTATATCTAGGAATTTCCCTCAATTTTATTCATATGGCAGAAGCCAATCTTATTAAAATGTAAAAATATATTCTTTCAAATAATATATTAATACCTGTATATTAAGAAAATATGAGGTGAAATCAGCATTTGCAAAAGTGAAATTGTGAGGGTAAGATCAGAGATGCTAAGGTGTAAATCACACCGTAGACAAAGTGATCAAAGTAGTTGACAGTAGGGATAGAAAGAAGGGATAATAGGAGCAAGGACAGAGGCTTAGAAGGAGAAATGCAGAAATAGAGCAAAAGAGGATACAGGTACTTACAGAAGAGACAGGGAAAATGTCAGAGTCAGGAGAAAATCTAAAAGAAAAGAACACAAGAAACTCTAAGATAACACTAATACATCACTTTATGGCAGTAAAGGGACATAGGCTTTGAAGCATAAACAAAGCAGGTGAGATTCCCAGGGAAGAATGCCTGCCTGTGACACTGAGAGCCCAGAGCAGAGGAACCAACATGCCTTGCCTGGGAAGCTTGTTAAGCCACAGGTGAGCAAGAGCTGGTGTTGCTGATGCTACTCATCCAAAACTAATGGACAAAAATAGTTGTTCTGGAAAGGAGGAGGAGAAGAAATCTGTAAAGCATGATGGCTTCATGCGCTGGAAGACCCTAAGCATGGGGAGAGCACCCTCTGTGGCGCAGGTGGGTGGGAGTGTGGGTACTGTGCAAAGCTGGGCACTGAGGCTGCCTGTGGAGCCTAGAAGCAAGAGGCTCAATTCATTTCCCAGCTCGGATTCCTCCACTAAGGATCCTCCAGACCTTGAACGAATCCATGTTCTGCCTCTTTACAGAAGGAGAGAAAGAATTAACCAGGATTGAAGGTGTATGGTTGTGTCCTAGGAGTGGGCATCTGGAGGAATGCCAAGTGGAGGAAGGAAGATGTGCTGAGCATGGCCTAGGGGACATGGGAAGACAAGAGCCTCAGCCACCAGCTCTGGTTCCTGGGTAAGAGGGTACAGGGAAATCAGGTGCAAGTTTGTTGAGGAACTTAATACCGTGCAATTATTTTGAGTGGTAAGGGTGAGGTCAAGTCATAGAAAGAAACTCAAAATTACCCACAGAAGGACAATTCAGTAATAATAATGTGAATAGATATAACCACAGCGAACCAAACCAAGGCACTGGCGTTGTGCTTTACTGAACCCAAAATAATGAAGCAATCATTATTTGAAGAGGAGTGCACATTAATCTTTTAGTAAATGTGAGACTGAAAACTATGTACCTGGGTACGCAGACTTAGACACTGATGATGTGACCTTTGCCAATTTTTTTAAAACTTTGACGTTCTATTACCTTACTTGTAAAATACGGTTTAACATTACTTCTTTCCAAGTTTACTGTCATTACAATCCTATAAAGAAAAGCTGTATCACGTCTCAGGTAACTTACATGCTGACTGAGTCCTCACTGAATTATTGTTATAATTTTGTTAAAGTTTTTATTATTGTTTATTATTAATAGCAATTCTTAGCCCAACTTCTCTTCCCTGTGCCAACAGCTAAAGAAGTGTGGGTATTAGGCTGAGAATGCTTACAGGGTGATGAGACACTGACAGCTGGAGGGAGCCTATGGTGCCCAGGGCCCCTTCCTGCCCATCTTCTACCCCGGCCCCCACCTGCTCCTCGTCCAGACGTCTACCCTGCCCTAAATGATACACCACCACGTCTGAAATTCAGTGCTCCCTGGGTGATGACGAGTCAGTCCTCTGTGCTTAAGGAAAGTCACCGTTCCACAGGAGGGCACAGTCTGTTCATTCGTGATGATTAATGGTCATTAACCTTTGATCCGACACACATTAACCCCCTGTTTGGAGCCAACTGCTCCTCCTCAGACGAATGAATCCTCAGACAGCCAAGTGGCAGCGTGAAGGGCTCAGGAACCACTGGCACATGGCAGTGAGGGATGCTGCTGCTCCCTCCCACGGCCGGTTTCCCTCTTCTGATTTACCAAGGTGGAGCGGCATCTCCTGGGGAGGAAGCAGGATCCTATGTATCTGCACTGCCAGTGCCCTCAGCACTAGTGTGAGACAACAGAGGGCGAGGATGTCAGCAAGTGACAGCTGCTTATGACAGCCTCTTCCTCCATGTGAAGAAGGCACTGTAAAAAGGCCTCATCCATGATCCAGAGGAGAAACTGAGGACTCTGCAGTGCCATGACTGCTGTCAGCTCAGCCCACCCAGAGTGCTCTCACCTCAGGGAGATGGCCTCAAAAGTAAAGAAAATCCTGTTTCCCCTTGCACACCAGCCGTCATGTTCTGAAGACAATGGAGCCAGGAGAGATGCAAGTTTCTGTCCTGCAAAGAGGCTGCTGCTCCTAATGTGGGGCAGAATACTAGAGATGTATTGTATTACATGCAGGGTTTAAAGATGAGTCAGGCTAGTATTCCTCAAAATGGCACAGGAAGAGAAAAGTAATGGCGTCAGTACAAAATACACAAAGTGGCGTCAGTACAAAATGGTGTAGTTACAAGCTGGAAGACTTGGAGTCTAAGGCCAGCATTGGAGGAGGTATCAGCTAACGTGAGCTTGATTGCAAGGCAGTAACAAGCATCCCTAAATCTCTGGAGCTGAAACCACAAATATTTCTCACTCACATGGATTACCCACCTTGGGTTGGCTGAGGGGCCCATAACCATCCCTAACAATCATAGATCAGAAAATCCTTTATGATCTTCTCAATTGTCTGGAGAGAAAGGAGACCACAGAAAATTTATAAGTGTAGCCACTGGAGCCTCTCACAAATCCCTGAGGAGACCCCCAAGACATAAACGGACACTGCAGCATGTGGGGCAGGAGGAGGAGGATCTGGATGATCACGGTTCACAGCATTCCTTTTACCCTCACAGACCAGTTCTTTCATAATCACTAGATGAAGTGTTTGCATGGTAGTAGCCATAGGACAGGTCCTCAGAAAGACTTAAGGATTTCCAAGGAGCCCTAAATTACAGTGTGTATGGTAGCTGTGATACACCAGAGCAGCTGTGAGCCCTTGCGCTATGTGAGAGGGAGCAGAGCTGACCTAGCCCAAGAGGCAAAGATAAATGGCTACACCTAAACCTCCCTGAGCACTGATATTAAAATGAGTTGTCTGCCACCTGGCTGTAGCTCACCCTCAGATCCCTCCTGTAAAACTGTAGAGTGTGAGTGGGGCTTGAGGCTCAGTCTCTAACATCACTAAGAAAAAGAAAGAAAATATGATTGCTTCCAGCTGCCCCTCTGACCTCAGAAGTGAAATTCGCAAGAGCACCTCTCTAACTCCTGCACCCGAACTGCACCATCCCAGGCAACAGCTCCAAACCTACAAACACCGAGGAAACAGTGTTTTCTGGATATGACAGCTTGTGCTCAAAAGGCTTCTCATCTGCAAACAAGAATCCCTGTGCCTTCTTCACAGCCCTTGAGAGTCCTGTAGTCGCCTACTACACAGCCCAACAGCATGCAGTGGGTGCTCACTAAATGCACCTTCCCATACCTCCCCCGTTCAGTTTGTCAGTGAGGTCCACTAAGAACGCTGAACTTGGAGTGCTCAGTGATTGACTCTTCCCTCTGGACTTTACTTAAGATCTTAGGATTAAACCGAGTTCCCATCGAGTTGGCTCTTGGAAGCAAAGTACTGGTGCTGCCTCATTAGTAAGTAAACCAACCCAGACTTTGGCAAGAAGCAGGCTCTTTGCTCCCATCATAAAAATGGCTCAGAGGGGTGAGTTGTAGGTGTAAGTGCCAAAGTGCTGACAGGTTCCCACAGAACCCATAGCCAAGGCAGCCAAACAATGCTCAGAGATGTGATGTTGCTTCCTGAGGATCCTGAAAAATCCTGTGGAAAGAAAATAAATGGAACTTAGCTCTGCCTAAGCACTGCCGCATTTGTGAGCTGCTTTTCTTGATAAGGAAGTGTGCAGAGCAGTGTGAACGCTGTTGGCCAGAGGCCAGGAAACACCATGAAAACTTGGAAGAAAGCCCAGAACTTGCATCTAAAGAAGCAAGGGCAAGTTTTGCAGCCTACTGCAAGCCCCAAGCTGTCATTCTGGGGATTTATGAGGTGGGGGTTCTGAAGATGATCTCCTGAATCCTCATCAAAAGGGTGTGTGCACCTGTGTTTTCCCCTGAATTCCATCTCTCTCATCAGATTTCAAAATGATCCAGGATGCAAAGCCAAGCAGGAGAAGAGAGGACAAAGCGGGAAAACGGAATTCAAAGCTTTGGTAAAATCCACAAGTGTGAATCTCATTTTCTGGTGCATTTCATTATGGTTTTAGAGTAACTGGCCTTCTGTGGTTTGAAATGACTAACAATTCTCTGGCCACTTACATTTTTGCCTCAAATTCACTTGTTTATCACTCTAAATCAAGACAACGGTTTTCCCACTTCTTTCTGTCTGCATTGATCACCATGGAGGGACCAAAGTGACACCCAGGGACAGAGCTCCAGAACTATACCATCCTGGGCCACTGTGCAGTTACCCATCTGGCATTTCAAATGAATGCCACCCTGGTCACAGACCAATCCTCATGTAACCAAGCAGGGCTACCTGATTGCATAAAAATCACCCACACTTATACTTATTTTCTCCTTGTGCGTATTAAATTTTTTAGTCAGATCACTAATGGTTATTTCCAACCTTAATCTCCTTCTTGATTTCATGCCCGAGAAAGACATTACTTTAGTACAACACTTATAGAATGACTTTTGTGTACCACATATATCCCATAATTAGGCATTGTATACTTTAAAAAACCTTGGTCACTGGGGAATTTTCATCTGAAAAACATGATGGAGGGTTCCCAAACCATGTGTAAGACTGAATATACCTGAAGGGACAGACGTGTGCACGCTCTCAGGGTATAACTGAAACTGACAATTCTATGCCCTGCTGACTGCAGAGACCATAAACACAGCCAGGACCATAAGAGAAGGAAGAAGAGTTCATTTTTTTACTCAAGTAAGGAGCACACTGGGGTAAAAGCAAGCACGGGGTAAACTGACCCATTCGTTTAGGAAAGACTCACCCAGCACCACAGTAGAAGAAACAGGCTCATTCCTAAGCTGCTCAGAGGGAGGTCATGACTCCATACACATTGCCTGTTCACAAGAAGAGGATAAGAAGGCCTGCTCTGAGGTGGAGAATTTAGTATTATAATGAATAAAGTCTGTTCTAGAATATTCCAGGAATGAGTCAGGCTGACTCAGCATTTCTGACAGATTCCTTGTAAATTCCTCTGGAGGGCTTATCTACAACAAAATGCAACTTTGACGGAACATTCAGTCATCTCAAAGAGCAGCACGCCCTCTGCACATAGAAGCACCCATCACCTCCCCTAAAGGTACCAACCCAGCACATACAAAGGAGTATGAGAGCTGAGACATACTCCAAGGATGACATTGTGAAATAGATACTTGATCTCCACCCATTTCCAGTCACATGGCTTCTAAAACCCTAGGGCCCTCCACAGCAAGAATCGCATATTTTGCACAGGAGTGAAACAAGCAGACTGTGTTGTCCGGGCCTGGGGTTGTTGGGATGACTCAGGCAAGGACCTGGCCACCTGGCAGGACCAAGGCAGAACATTCATCCCTTCTGCAACTTCCAGGTTCCCCCAAGAAAGGGGACTCAAAGGGCTTCCAGGTACATGAATATTTGCATCTGGAAGAAGGCACTAAAGTCCCCAGCATCTCTCCATCTGGCTGTTGTTCCTCTGCGTCCACTGAAAATCCTCTATAACTGAGGAGCAGAAGTCAGCAAGGTCAGCTCTCAGGGTCCACAGTTTCCTCCTTTGATTCAACCAGCTGCACATTGAAAATATTTGAAAAAAAAATACATCTGTACTGAAAATAAGCAGACTTTATTTTTGCTATTATTCCCTTAACAGTTCAATATACTGATTGTTTATATAGCTTTGGTGTTGTTAGGTATTATAAGAAATCTAGAGATGATTTAAAGCTTATGAGAGGAGGAGCGCAGGTCATATGCAAATTCTACATCACTTTATATGAGGGACTTGAGCTTTTGCAGATTTTGAAATCCACGGGAGGTCCTGAAATAAACCCCTGTGAATGCTAACAGAGGGCTATAAAACATTTCTCTGAGTTCTGTGAACCTCTCAGACAAATGAACTTAACCCAAGCAGGCCATCCTGGAGACCCCCAGTTGATAGCTCATCAATCAGAAAAGTGGGTGACAACTTAGATTGTGTGGCTGGAATCTGAAGTTGGGGACAGAGCTTCAACCTTGGCAGTTGATGTAACCTCCAGGTAGGAGGCAGTGTCGGAAGGGAATGGAACTAGAGAAGCCTAGCTGGGCACCCAGGAAAGCCGCTGGTGTTTACAAAGGAAAACCCCCTTGTTGGTGTTAGAAGCACAGTGTGGAAGGCTGTGAGCCCAGAGGGTTTCCTACCTGACCTGTCACTCTGTCCTGTCCTCGGCAGCACTCCAGTGTTCAGTATCCATCCCCAGCAGCCGTTGGTGTCTGCAACAAACTGCACTGAATGTCAGGCTTCAGTGAAATAATCTCAAAAGCAGCTTTGTGACAGACCTGGTGCCCTGAGTCACCTTGTTTTCAGACCCATCTCCACCCATTGCCAGGATAACTTTCCCCAAACGTCAGTCACGCTGTGTCGTTTTCAGCCTAAACCCTGACCACAAGTCCTCATGCCCACCAGTACTGAAATTTGAGTTTCTATTAACTGCCCACACCCTCAGCCCCGCTGAATGAGCCAGGTGGACCTGTGACCCTCTGGTGCTCCTCTTGGATTTTCAGGACACCAACGCTGTAGGGATCTAGGACAGTGGCGCCTCCCACAGTGTTCTTTCCTAAAGCACCTGCTTGTGCTGCCATTGTAGGAAAGGATCACACATCCCTCTTCCCCTCTTCCATTCCACCCTCACTAAGAGACAGTGACTTCACAGCATATCCCCAGCATATGAGTGGCCTCACAGACACTGTCGCCTGTAGATAACTGGGAGGACAGGGCCTTTGTGCAGCTCCTTGACCTTCTGTGAGAAGAGGATCACGGAGGGACTGCTGCTTTCTGGGATCTCAGGGACTCCACATGCACCCAGGTGAGTGACGACATCCTGTGCGTGCAACCCAGACAGAAGCTGACCTCTCAGTGAAACACTGTCTCACACCCACCAGGGGCTCCTAAGGACTGTTCCTATAAAGTCAGGAGGGAACTCATTGGTCTACCATTTTACCTTAGAATCCAAGACTTTGCTAATTTAGAAAATATTCAGTATCCTTTCCTGCCCAAATTTCAGCAATAGCTTATTGGGTGTTTAACAGATGATGGATACTGATTTAAGTATTTTTCTAACAGTTTGTTTAATATTCACAAGAAATATTACGATTACCATCCCCTTTTTATAACTGAGAACACCAAGGGATGGAGAAGTCAAATAAGTCTTCTAGTACGGCACACTGTCTTTGACGCCTTTCCCTCGCCCAGACACAATACCCCACACTCACAATTTACGGAAGGAGAAGGTCACGTTGGGTCCCTGTTTAGAAGTTTCAGTCGTGTTCAGCAGGCGTAAGCAGCACAGGGAAGGGCCTGGAGGAGGAGAGCGCTGAGGTCATAGCACCCAAGAAGCAGGGTCAGGGGCAGAGCGGGACGGGACAGCACCCATCCGCTCACACCCAGGAGCAGGCCCTGCCTCCTGCCCCAAGTCAGCTAAGGTGTCTCATGGTCGTCCCCTCCCCAAGAATGCCTGTGAGCACGTAAAGCCTTCAGGGACATTCTTGATCCGAACCATGACACGCAGAGCCAGGTAGATAGGGACTCTCGCCTCAGGAGTCCTTCAGCTGGACCACCATGTTATACCAACTTGCTTCTTGCCTTATACATGGAGGAGCTGCCACTTACCTTTGTAGTATTCTGGCCAATTCTTCTTCCACGTGCCCAAAAACTACCATGTAGCTGTGAATTCACTTTCCAAGTAACACAGATTAAGCAATGTCTTAAAAGTTCAAATATGTCAGGCATGATGGTGCATGACCAGCTCCCAGGAGGCTGAGGCAGGAGGATCGCTGTGAGTTTAAGACCAGCCTGGGCTACAAAGTGAGTTCAAGGCCAGCCTGAATGACATAGTGAAACCTTATTTCAAAAAGACTGGAAAAAAAATCCAAATAGGTAATAACATTTGTTGGCTATTTATTATATTCTAGACAAATTCCTAGGAACATTACTGAAATTATCACACCTAATTCCCACAACAGTGTCCAGAACTATGCTTTTTCCCCCTTATTTCAGAAGTCATATACCCTATTCTTTACTTTATATGCTTTTATATAAATTTGCTGGGTTCCTCTTTGCAAATGATGAAATGTTCACTGAAAATATCATCAAAGTTATCTTGCATAATTTGTTTTAATAATAAGCCCTAGATTTTTTATTCAATTATAGATCAAAGTATAGAGACATCTTTTAAAAATGGAAAAAAAAATCTATCTTAAAATATGTTAAGAAAAACGCACTTTGCAGAGACCAAAAGGAGAAAAAGAAGCATATTCAATAAAAGTAAGCAATCAACTAGTAAAGATAGGAAATTAATTCAAACTTCTATAACATGTGAAGGTTTTGGTAAACATCTGAAAAAGCTGTAAGGAAGATTTGAACTAAAACATCAATTTTGACTAAATTCTTGACAATCAAAGTTAGTTTGAACTAAAGAACATAATTCTTATTTTTCTCTGCATCTACAACATAGCGGGTTCTCAAAAGCATCTTCTGGTGGGGTTTTGTCCATCTGTCATCCAGTACAAGTGAAACCAGATTGCCCCCCTTGGATTTGGAAGCACACTGGCTCACTCCCTCTGCGCTGAGAGCATGGCTCCAAATCAACACAACAGCACCCTGAACCCACAAGCTAGTGGGGGCAAACCCTAGGGCATCAAAAGAGGGAAAGATGTAAGACTGGAGGGATCCTGAAGAAAAATCTCACCCAGCACATACTCCAGGAGCTCTAATCCAACCAGAAACTGAGCTCCCAAAAGCCACATGGGAAGCCCAGTGCATGAATCCCCCTCTGCTCACGAGGAGGACCTTCAGCCACCCCAGAAAACCACCGCACAGCAGCACTGAGAGCTTCCCACATCCAGAGCAGTGGCCCTGTCTCCCTGGCCTGGTGCTCCTCACAAGGAGAGCTGAGACTATAACAATTTGAGTTCAGGAAATGAGCCCTACACCCAGGCTCTGGCAGAATCACAAAGGAGGCAATTAAAGTCACCGGGGCTTTGCACCCGCCCTCCTGTCTCAGGCAGGGCTGAGGTGGTTCACTTGACTTCACAGAAGCCCAGTCACCTGCCACCAACCCTTCTCACTGTCTCCTAATAATGAGCTCCTGTGAGACTCGCGTCCGATTAGGCAAGCCCTGCCTTCAACCGCCTCTTTAAAGACTCCCTCAGGCTTCCAGAGCAGTTTTGTTCAACTCTTATTTGAAGCCTCATCCCTCCAGCAGCTCATTTTCCCCAGGTCTCCTGAGTGGCCCCTGCAGGCAGATTTCATCATCAATGAAACGCGCACCGATCAACAATTCTGTGCCGATGACAAAACCTAAATGCATCTGATGTGCGGTGGACACGGAGGAGGCAGAGCAGCTTGAGAAAGGGCAGAGTTTTCAGCAGCTGCTACAAAAATAGCACAGCCAATTAAGATTCCAGCTGCAGAGAGACAAAGATACAATCTGGAGCAATAATAACTGTACTGTGGATTTTTAGGAAAACAGATTTGCCGTTTACTCCCCAGCTCCCTGACAAAGTTTCAGACCAGGACTGGCCAACTGGCAACCGCCTTCAGGCTCCCCACCAGTTCCACCAGAATCCCCCCACCCCCACCCCCGGTCCGTGCGGGGCTCAGAAGTCCAAGATGTCTTTTGCTTCCTCTGCAGCTTGGCCGGTCTTCCCCAGAAAGGCAAAAGCGCTGGTTTGCAATAGCTCTCCGGGGAGGAGTCAGCCTTCATGAGGAGAAAACGTGGAGAAAAATTCACATCCATCTACAGCCCAGGGAAGTGTGTGAATACGGAGCTGTTTCAGGTACGCAAACCAATTGCCTGGGAGGAAGCCACCACCAGTCATTGCTTTCTGCACGGTTGAGGATGGAAAGCGAGGGACTTGATTTCCAGGAAGAGCTCGCCTCTTGGCAGGAGGTGTGCACCCCCCTGTGTCAGGAGCTGAGTATGCTGTACCCCTGGGTCAGAAAACCCACCCTTGATAACTACACAGTTATCAGTTCATAAGATAACCAAAGCAACAAATACCAAGCAGACATTTCCTAAGGACACATCATTCAGAGCAAGACTCAGCTCCCCTCCTCTGCTTTCTTAGCCTGTTTCTATGAGGCTCAAGAAGCAAGCTACCAATCATATACTTTTGTAATGCCTATGTCTGTTTATATCTGGTGTTGGGGGTGGAGTCAGAACCCCAAACACCCACCCCATTGATTTCAGGAAGCAAGGCCACAGGGCCTTCCTCAGGGACGGTATCACTTTCCAGTGACCTTTGCATTTCCTTTTAATTTTCTTCTATTTCTTGCTTAAAACATCTCTTGTTTGGAGTCTCTTGTTCAAAACAACCACCTTTTAAATTTTTATTCACCAATCCTCAAGTTGGAGTTACTTTATATGCATCTTGCTACAAACTTCCCCCACTTCTCACACTCGGCATTTGGTGAATTTTAACTGCTGAAATCCCCATTCGAATCTGAGAATATTTGTGACACGGACATCTTTGGCTTCCTCCATCTCCTCCTTTGCTGTGGTCCATGGGACACTTCCGGCCGCCCACACAGGTTGGACACAGTCTCTGTCACCTCATTAGTCTACTCATTCCACCTGTGAAAACCCCAGTGGTCTTGTGTGTCTCTTTGTTACTTTTGGTATTGTGTTGGTTGGCTACACTTAAGTACTTCGGTGTGTGTTCTTCACTTGTGTCCACACATGCACATAAGCTTTTTTGGCGATCTACACTTCTGTGTAATTTCTGTAGAGGTGTGCACTCACTCACACTTACTGTAATTTTCAGCACAGTGCTTCACTCACAAGGGGCACTCAAGAGGGCTCCGAGCAGCACTGGAAGGTCTTGCCTGCTATTGGCCCAGGAGCAGCTTGAGCCCTTGCCTGATCACCACTGAGCATGCAACTACCCTGCAGCTGGTGTGCCTCACTCTGCTTCATGCTAAGATCGTTGTGAGGTACCTGTGGTTCTAGGTAGCGGCAAGAAAGTGGACTCTGAGACCTCCTCAAATCTCTTCCAAAATGAATGGCCTAGTTCTGACTTTCTTTATTGATGTATTTGTATTTTGCAAGTCAAGAAATTTAGATCCAAAACGGATGCAAATGAGTTCCCCAGGACTCTGCAAGTGGTGTCAGAGGAAGTGTGGAAATTCAAGATTTCTCCTTTTCTCCTAATCTTTCTGCTTCCTCCCCGCAGGCTGCCTTAGCAATTATGAGCTAATGGAGAAATGGGATTTGGTTTTAAAAAACACAAAAAGAGGAGGACACCAACCATTCATCAAAGGAGAATAGAAATTGGCACTTTCCTGAAAATACAATTTTTCCCATTAGCCTTGCAAGGATCAGACAAGACAGCTGATGTGTGTGAGAGCAGGCACCTCTATAGCAGATGCATAAATTGAAGCTATCCCTGTGGAGAGGAGCCACTGTTTCACAGTATGGGAAAGGATGAATGTAGAAGAATATTAATGGTAGCATTGTTTGTAGTATCAAAAGATTAGAAACTACTTAAGTATATTCCAATAAGGGAGGACTAAAAAGAGTGGAAGAATTTGACTGCATGGAATATTGCATAACCTGTAAAGCATATTGACAGATGAAAGCTCTCAAAGCCTTAGCGAAAAATGAAAAGTAAGTGTGTCCTCTTCTTACCAGAGAATATCTCCAGAAGTAGGTGGGATGGAAAACAGGGTACCAAGAAACAGCTAACTTGGGTTGGCAGTTGAGAAGGAAATGGCAGTAAATAGAAAATTACTTTGCATTTATTTTGTAACTCTTTCATTTTTTACCGTGACTGAATATTAACTGTCTAAAAGCTAAACATCCACTATAGGTAGTAGTAAGTCCAATTATAAATGATTAAGGAGTTAATTTAAAACTTGCTGTGTTGTGAATGTGTTAATGTTATTGTTTTATATCATAGGAAATGGCACCATTGAGAAGCTAGTTGTCAATTGCATATACATAGAAAGTCTTTTATTGCTGATTTCTTACTTTTTCTTATGCCATCTCCTACTGTTTAGTTTTGTCCTTTCTAATACCTTCTCTCAGTCTAAAATCAACACACCTATCAAAATTGATACATACATGATACCATAGGTATTCTGTTAAACTGTCTCCTAAATACTTATTAAAGGACAAATGGGTAAAGACAATGTGGCATCTACAAGTAATGTAATATTTTTAGATCAAAAGAAACATTCAAGATTTCTTCTAACATCCATGAATCTACTTTGACAGTCTTCTCTGACATATGTTATACCATAAATATTCTTGCAAATTATCTCAAAATATTTTTGAGGATGAAAATCTGTATGTGTAGCTATAGTATATCCATGAACATTTGGAGATCTGAATTTTTTCTTCTTTTATGGCTGAATGATAGTCTACGATACATACATTCTGTGTGATACCTATGGATGGTTATTTAGTTGTGTACCAAATCTTAGCTTGTGAATTTTGCTATAATGACCATGTGAGTGCAGATATATGTTTGCGAATTTGATTTCAGTCTTTCTGGTACATTATAGAAGACTCCAGGCTAAGTGAAAAAATTAGAGAAAGACAAATAGTTCCTCATTTTACTGATATGAGAAATGTGAGATGGTCAAACTCACAAAGACAGAGCAGAATGGTAACTGCCAGGGGCTGGGGGAAAAGGGACAACTACAAAACCAGTTACATAAAATGAGCACTTTTCGACACGCGCTGTGTGACCACGTGCCACAGAGAACAGTGCTGTTCTGTGCACTTCCCGGAGTGTGGAGAGAGTGAGGCTCATGAAGTGTCCTTACCACAG